CCCAAATTCACGAGTAAGTTCTGGAAGGAGCTCATGGGACTGTTGGGGACAAAGCTTGCAATGTCTTCAGCTTACCACCCCCAGGCTGACGGACAGACAGAGCGACTCAATCAAGTGGTTGAACAGTTACTGCGCATAGCTTGCAAGGACGACGTCAGCCACTGGGACACACAGTTACCGACCCTAGAGTTCGCTTACAACAACGCATCACATGCGGCCACAGGAAAAACTCCTTTCTTCCTGTGTTACGGACGGGAACCACTCACACCACAGCAGCCAACCACACCGGCATATGTCCAAGCCGCACATGACTTCGTCACCACCATGCAGCAGTTATAAGAGAAGACTCAGCGACGTCTCACCACGATGCAGAACTCCCATAAGCAGTATGCCGATCGTCAGCGACGTGATCACTTAGTAGCAGTCGGAGATCAGGTGCTTCTTGACACGCGCAACTTGAACCTGTCTCACCTCCCATCCAAACTCCGGCCTCGCTTCTATGGTCCTTTTCTCGTTGAGGCACAGGTGACACCAGTTACATTCCGCTTGCGCTTACCAGATACATGGAAGCTTCACAACGCTTTCCATGTCCAGCTACTGAAGCCCTACAAGGACCTCAACCAACAGTTCTAGGGACGGCAACTACCGCCACCACCACCTGTTCTCATACAGGATGAACCCGAGTACGAGATCGAGCGCGTTCTCTCTCATCGGCGCCGCGGTGGCAAGACTCTCGAGTTCCTGATCCTCACACTGGGGGTAGCCATGACTGTAGTGGCCTAGCAGGGAGTGATCTCACCAGTCCGAGTAAGTAGGGCCGGGGCGCGCCGGTAGGAACAGTAGCGGCTCGACGGCAGGGCGGCTCGGCTGCTGGGCGGCACGGCTGCTGGGCGGCACGGCGGCTCGGCGGCTCGGCTGCTGGGCGGCTCGGTGGCTCGGCTGTTGGGCGGCTCGGTTGCTGGGTGGCTCGGCGGCTCAGCGGCTCGGCTGCTGGGCGGCTCGGCGGCTCGGCTGTTGGGCGGCTCGGCTGCTGGGCGGCTGGCGGCGTGGTGACTCGGCTGCTCAGCTGCTGGGCGGCTCAGCGGTAGAGGCGGCGATGGGGCCGCGAAGAGCGGGGACAGGGCCGCGTAGGGAGGGGAGCGGTGACGGGGCCGCGTAGGGGCGGCGACAGGGCCGCGTAGGGAGGGGAGCGGCGACGGGGCCGCTAGGGGCGGCGACGGGGCCCGCGTAGGTAGGAAGGCGGCGACGGGGCCGCTAGGGGCGGCGACGGGGCCGCTTAGGGGCGGCGACGGGGCCGCTAGGGGCGGCGACGGGGCCGCGTAGGGGCGGCGACGGGGCCGCGTAGGGAGAGAGGCGGCGACGGGGCCGCTAGGGGCGGCGACGGGGCCGCTTAGGGGCGGCGACGGGGCCGCTAGGGGCGGCGACGGGGCTGCGTAGGGGCGGCGACGGGGCCGCGTAGGGGCGCCGACGGGGCCGCGTAGGGAGAGAGGCGGCGAAGGGGCCGCTAGGGGCGGCGACGGGGCCGCTAGGGGCGGCGACCGGGTAGCGTAGGGGCGGCGACGGGGCCGCTAGGGGGCGCGAGGGGCCTGGAAGGGTGGCGACGGGGCCGCTAGGGGCGGCACGAGGGGCCGTGGGAGGGGCCTCTAAGAGACCTCTACAGAAGGGCGGCCCACAAGGCGCGCCTCGGGCAGGAGCGATTGGCGCTCCGGTCAGAAAAAAAAATCAGTGGTGGGCCCAAGGAAGCGTTCCCACTAGGGAACCTGCTCTATACCATGTGAACAAATGAGGAATGAATGAACTAGCAAGCAGGTGGGTACAAGTAGGAAAACCTAAAAATGTTGTACCCCATATAGTCTACCCCACTACAGCCTACACAGACTATAGCATATAAGTTTGACAGTCTTCATAGAGGTTGAACCTGTTTGCGGTGCGGAAGTTGGTGTAGTCGGCGACGTGGAGTAACTTGAAGCAGTTGGTGATGAGCGTGAAGGCTTCGCCAAGGAATTCGAGGGCGCTTGCCGGCTCGTTGTGCCGCACCTTGTGCTCTGCATGCTTCAAGTACACCCGCAGGTGTTCCAGGACCTCGGCTTGCTCGCGCACGGCGGCGTTCTTGAACGAGGCGGCGGTGAGGGTGGGGTTGGGAGAAGGGAGCGAAGGGAGTTGCTCATCGGATGCAGAAGCGACATTTATAGCATGAGCCTCACCGTCTTCGTCTTTTTCATTGTCGCTGTCGGTAGGGTTGTTCATGACTGGGGTCGCAACGTCGCGTGTCTCTTCGCCCCTTCCGGTTTTTGTCGTGTAAGCGCGCTTCATGGACTCCGTTTTCGCCTTTTCGTTTTTAGCAAAGATCGAAGTTGCGTTTGGTGTAGCGATTTCTTGAGTAACAGCAGGGGTCTGCTGGTGTAACAGGGTTAGCAGCTGCTGCAGTTGGGCTGCAGTGAATGATGGCGCCACTTGCGCGTCCGTCGCCACTTGCGCGTGAGGCCCTACAGGCGCGTCAGGGCCCACAGGCGCGCCAGGGCCCACAGGCCTGCGTCGCTGGCGCGGACGCGGGGTGCCAGTCGCGCTGGTTGGTGCTGATTTGGCGCCTTCTGTTGTGGCCGGCGCGTCAGGGGCCACAGGGGCTCGAGGCACACGAGGGGCGTGTGCCTCGACACCAGCAGCGTGTGCCTCGACACCAGCAGCGTGTGCCTCGACACCAGCAGCGTGTGCCTCGGTCGCGCTCAGCAGGACGTCGACGCCAGTCGCGGAAATTTCCCCGTCTTTTGTCCGGCGCTTGTTTTGGCGATCGCCCGCGATTTCGCGTGCGTTTCTTGCGGACTCGGGTCGAACGGGGGCCGTAGTGGTATTAGACTCCCCGCCATTAAGTGCCATAGTTGTTGCGTTGTGCGCGAAAATGTCAGAGAGTAAAGTCGATGGGGATTGAAAGCGAGGAAGAGACTTGGTCCTCTCCAGCTTGAGTGTGGGAGACGAAAATCGGCTAAACCGTTTGAAAATGAGAGACGTGGGTGGAGGGAAATGACCTCCAGCCCACGTTTTGTACTCCAAAACGGGCGTCTAGCGCGGTTCGTCGCTGCCCATTCCTACATTACAGACTGTTTCGCTTTCAAAATACGAAATTTTGAAAAGCGTAACATTTTTTAAAATATTCATTTCAGGCCTTAAGCTGCTCCGGTCATTGGAGATCACGGGGTGTGAAAAGGTCTATGACAGAAAACGATCATTAGAGCTCCCTTGCATTCGTACCATGTATGGCTTGATGTTTTCAGCGTGGTGGTGAAGATGATAAAGTTGGACGGTTCTTGTATCCAACATACGGTAGCAATGCTATTCTGTTGATTCCAATTCCAGGCAATGCCCACATGCTTGTTGGCATGCACCTCTAACGCATCCTTGCCCCGATCTTTCCCATCATCTTCATTCTGCCGCATGTGTTCTTGCTCTAGAGTGCCAACTCCATTGCAATGTACAACCACTTGAACACCACTTGAACGTAATTGGGTGAAAAACTACCAGTTGTAGGAATGTATTCTTGTATCCAGGCTGCTCAAGTGTAGGTCCGCTTCACTGGTGGGAGTAGGGCTTCTCGAAACGGCCTTGTATCGAGCTGGCGGGAAACTTTGCTGCGCTGGTTTAGTTGAATTGCTTCACCGTTTCACCTAGCGCCACGTGACATCTCCAAACTTGGCCTTCCGCGATCCAAGGTGGGTCATGAAACCTTTCTCGCCATGCGAGTATCTACATATTCGCGGGATGTGGAAGGACGTGGCTGTTTGGAAATCGAGATTCAACGGTTCCTCAAGGGGTCCCCAGAAAACCAGCGACGTGCTGTTGAGAGCACCCCATTGACACCCCTGAGCATTTCTCGCCGTCGATCTTCGCGCTTCACATGTCTTCCTCACTTAGCAAAAGAACATGTTTAGCGTCTGCCCGCTACAGAACTTCTGCGCCCCACACTCACCCTCGATTTTATGTGCACAAGAGTGGTAGCCACACGAATCCCTAGTTGTAAACACGCGTGACCTCCAACCTTCACTAGCGGCAACCCAGCGCATGTAACCCTCGTTAGAATCAAGGGCGGGCAGTGTAGCACACTTCACCAGAAACACTTTTTCCTCCTGCCTGCCGTTTGATCGACCAGCCCCCCCCCCCGTATGACACGCCCGCCAAGCATACCTAACGGCATTCTAGAATGTGGACTAGCAACGATGGGAGCACAGCAGATGTATGAAGCAGACCTAGAATAGCAGGGAGGATAAATCAAGCAGCAGCAGCGCACTTTTACGAGGCGCACGCACGTCACGTTACTCGGTTCCTGATCACCAGTTTTTGTCCAATCGAATACCCGATATCTGTCCAGTAGTGCACCGTTCTGTGTTTGTTAGCCAAGAATGGTCCAACGCTCATGCGATGCGATTGATAAGGGCGCCGTTAGCTCGGATTGACACCTTATGCAAGCGAGAACAACTTGATCGCGACCTGCTGCTAACAGCCGATTTTTTGCCCAGCTGGCACTCGTTACTTCGTAATCGTCTTTCCACCTTACACGCGATCAATAGGGCCGTCTTCTTTCTTAAACCGCCATAGCCGGCCTTTTAGTTAGAACCTTCGACCCAGTTCGCGAGTTTTAGGACATTCGTTTCCGTTTCTGATCAGTCTACTTCAAGCCGACCTTACTGCGTACAGCACCTAACCCTAATCATGGAGCCGCCAGGACATCCCTACCTAACATATAGAGGCCACAGGCACAGACAGCCAGGAGACATGATCGCACATTACGATCGCATCCGAGACGAGCTCTTAACGGGTCGGCCTGTATCGGATCAGGGCGAAACTCACAGCCGGAAAAAGCGGCCCAGAACTCTAGCTTCCGACGGCCTTCCGCTCCCGCTCTGGCTCACTAATGTCATCTTCGTTATAGCGTTCGTTCTTTCTAGCTGTTACCTACTCCGCCGGTGGCGCGAGAAGCTGGACTCCTCGGAAAAGCTCCATATTTTATTATGGCGGGACTTAGCGGCCGTCACGCTCGCGATCTGTTCGTTTATCTACTTAATCGGTTTCCTGGGGATCGGGTATGTGCAAGCGACGGTGGGGCTGAGCGTTCTATCGGACGAAGAGGAAGAGGAAGAGGAGGAGGAGGAGGAGCGGGAGGAGGAGGAGGAAGAGGAAGAATCGTCTAGGAAGCTTCGTAACTGCCAGCACCAAGAGCAGGCTAAGGATCTTGCTCACCGCTCTCCTTCTTTTAAGTCCTATCTCCAACCTTCGTCCTTCGAGCCTGAGTGTGCTTCTAAAGCGGTTCCGATTCCATCCGCTGCAGCTGTCCCTTCCGTTACAGTCTCCTCTGGTACAATCACGCCGAACACCAGCACTGAAAGCTTGAAAACCTTCGTCTTCAAGTCCGACAGTGCATCCTCGTTACAAGACGTCCCGCTGCAAGACCTCCCGGACGACGACATCGCGCGCGCCGTCGCGCGCGGCGCCATTCCCATGCACTCCCTCGAGGCGCAACTCGGCAACACCCTCCGCGCCGCCGCGGTCCGGCGGCGCGCCGTGGAGATTAAAACCGGGCGGTCCTTAGCCGGGCTCCCGCTGGAGAATTACGACTACGACGTGATCCGCGGCGCGTGCTGCGAGATGGTGATTGGCCACGTGACGATCCCCATTGGTGTAGCGGGACCGTTACTTTTGGACGGAACGGAATTCTTCGTACCGATGGCTACGACAGAGGGGTGCCTTGTCGCTAGCACGAACCGCGGCTGCAAAGCCATCTGCGCCGCCGGCGGCGCGCGCAGCGTCGTGCTCCGCGACGGCATGACGCGCGCGCCCGCCGTGCAGCTCCCGTCCGCGGTCCGCGCGGCGGAGCTGAAGGCGTACGCGGAAAGTCCGCGCAATTGGGCGGAGCTCGCGGAGGCCTTCAACAGCAGCAGCCGGTTCGCGCGGCTGCGGAGCCTCCGCGTGGCGGTCGCGGGGCGGAACGCGTTTATCCGCGTGGAGTGCGGCACGGGCGACGCGATGGGCATGAACATGGTTTCCAAGGGCACCGCGAGCGTACTCGGCGCGCTGCGGGACGCGTTTCCGGATATGCGGGTTGTGAGCATGTCTGGGAATTACTGCGCGGATAAGAAGGCGACTGCCGTCAACTGGATCCACGGGCGCGGGAAATCTGTCGTCTGTGAAGCCACCATTCCCGGCCACGTGGTACGTTCCTCCCCGCCTTTTTTCCCCCTTACCCCGTTCCCCTCTTCCCCCATTTTCCCAATCTTCCTTCTCCACTCCCCCAAGCTACCATTCCTGGCCACGTGGTTCGTCTCCCCCCGCCTTCCCCTCCGGTCTACATTTCCATTCCCCATGCCCTCCAGAACCTCCTGTCCTCCCCACCCCATTGCCCTCCTCACCCCATTGCCCTCCTGACCCCCCTGTTCATCCCTGGCCGCGTGGTACGTTCCCGTCCCGCTTTATCCCTGCCCTTTGTACCCACCGCCATCCCCATCCCCATCCCCCGTCCTCCTCTGTACCCTGTCCGTCTTCCCCATCCCCCGTCCTCCTCTGTCCCTGTCCGTCTTCCCCATCCCCCGTCCTCCTCTGTCCCTGTCCGTCTTCCCCTTCCCCTTTAATTTCCCCTGCTCTTCCGGGTGGAATCGGTGCTAAAGACAACGGTTGCCGCCCTGGTGGAGCTCAACATGGTGAAGAACCTGGTGGGGTCCCCATTGACTCGACCACTCTGCACCCCTCCGTATTCCCGGTACCGTCTCCCCTTCTGTTTCCCCTCCCAGGTCGAAACTGTGCTAAAGACAACGGTTGCCGCCCTGGTGGAGCTCAACACCGTCAAGAACCTCGTGGGGTCGGCTATGGCGGGCGCGGTGGGCGGCAGCAACGCGCACGCGAGCAACATTGTCACGGCGGTGTTTCTTGCAACGGGGCAGGACCCCGCGCAGAACGTGGAGAGCTCGCAGTGCCTCACGCTGCTTGAGGCCGTCAATAACGGTGCCGATCTGCACGTGTCTGTGACCCTCCCTGCGATTGAAGTGGGCACTGTTGGCGGAGGAACGTTCCTCGCACCGCAGGTGAGAAAGCAAGGAAGCTTCCTTGCACCTCAGGGAAGAGAGCGGGGTTGGGTAGAGAGCTGAGGGCAGGACCCCGCGCAGATCGTGGAGAGCTCGCAGTGCCTCACGCTGCTTGAGGCTGCGAATGGCGGCGAAGATCTCCATGCGTCGGTGACCCTGCCTGCGATTGAAGTCGGCACGGTTGGCGGAGGAACCTTCCTCGCACCGCAGATGAGCGTAAGGGTGGGAGGTGGTGGGTAGGTGGCAGAGGTCAGTGTTGTTTGTGCCAATGGTGTGTTCCTGGCGACGTGGAAGGACCGAGCTGACTTCTGAGTCAATAGTGTTTGTCTTGACTCAGGGCAGAGGGCAATAGTGTTTGTCTTGACTCAGGGCAGAGGGCAATAGTGTTTGTCTTGACTCAGGGCAGAGGGCAATAATGTTTGTCTTGACTCAGGGCAGAGGGCAATAGTGTTTGTCTTGACTCAGGGCAGAGGGCAATAGTGTTTGTGCCAGTGGTGTTTGTGCCCATGGTGTGTTCCTGGCCGCGGGGCAGGACCCCGCACAGAACGTGGAAAGCTGGCGCGGGTGGTGGCGGCAGCAGTTGCCTAAACTCTTATTCTCCTCCCCGCTGCTCTACTTCCCCCTCCCACAGGCAGCAGCGCTGGCCATGCTGGGCGTGAAGGGCGCGCACAAGACAGAGCCAGGGCTGAATGCGCAGCAGCTGGTGCGCGTGGTGGCGGCAGCAGTGCCTTTAACCCCTTCTCTTCTCCCCTCCGCTCCCCCTCCCCCTCCTCCACGCGGCAGCACTGGCCCTGCTGCGCGTGAAGGGCGCGCAAGACACAACCAGGGGCAAACGCGCAGCAGCTGACGCAGCAGTTTCCTAACCCTCTCGTCCCCCCACGCTCCCCCACGCTTCCCCACGCTCCCACAGGCAGCAGCGCTGGCCCTGCTGGGAGTGAAGGGCGCGCACAAGACGGAGCCAGGAGCGAATGCGCAGCAGCTGGCGCGGGTGGTGGCGGCAGCAGTGCTGGCGGGGGAGCTCTCCCTCTGCTCCGCCCTCGCCTCTGGTCACCTCGTGCAGGCGCACCTCAAATACAACCGCTCTACCCTCAATGCCACTGCTGCTTCTGCTGCCATCACTGCTGCTGCTGCTGCTGCTGTTGGTGCTGCCGCTGCTGCGCCTGCAGTCGCTTCTTTTGTTTCTGAAGCTGCTGGTGCTGGAGTTGCTGCTCCTGTTGCTGCTGCCTCAGCTGGTGCGGCGGTGTTCAGGGCAGTGGCGAGTGAGTCGGACTGCAGTGAGAGTGGTTCTAGAAGAGGCAGCAGTGGGTCACTTGAGGGGTTGTGTATGGCGGACAAGTGCTGAGCCCACTGGTGGTGTGGTGCCGATGCTGCTGCTGCCTGTAGTGTCAGCAGGGGAGGCTGTGTTCAGGGCTGTGGCGAGTGAGTCGGACTGCAGTGAGAGTGGGTCTAGAAGGGGCAGCAGTGAATCACTGGAGGGGCTGTGCATGGCATACAAGTGCTGAGCTCACCTCTGTTGCTGCTGGTGTGGTGGTGCTGCTGCTGTCGCTGCTGGTGTGATGGTGCTGCTGCTGTTGCTGCTGGTGTGGTGGTGGTGCTGTTGCTGCTGGCGGTGGTGGTGGTAGTTGCGGGTGGGGCTGTGTTGAGGGCTGTGGCGAGTGAGTCGGATTGCAGTGAGAGTGGGTCTAGGAGGGGCAGCAGTGAATCACTGAAGGGACTGTGTATGGCGGACAAGTGCTGAGCACACTGCTTCTGCTGCTGGCGGTGCTGCTGGTGCTGCTGGCGGTGCTGCTGGTGGGGCTGTGTATGGCGTACAAGTGCTGAGCTCGCTGCTGGTGCTGCTGGTGTGGTGGTGGTACTGCCGCTGTTGCTGCTGGTGTGGTGCTGCTGTTGCTGTTGGCGGTGGTGGTGGTGGTGCTGCTGTTGCTGTTGGCGGTGGTGGTGGTGGTGCTGCTGTTGCTGCTGGCGGGGGTGGTGGTGGTGCTGCTGTTGCTGCTGGCGGTGGTGGTGGTGGTACTTGTGGGTGGGGCTGTGTATGGCGTACAAGTGCTGAGCTCGCTGCTGGTGCTGCTGGTGGTGCTGCTAATTATGCCAGTTGCAAGTGGTGCTGCTCTCTCAGCCGTTGCTGTTGCCTCATGTGACTCTATGGAGGGCAGCAGGTGCAGCATAGGGTGCAGGAGGGGCTGCTGTGACATCAAGGAGGGGTCCGCAGGTGCAGCAGCAGGAGTTGCAGCAGCAGGTGCAAGGATGGCAGGTGCAAGGATGGCAGGTGCAGGGGCAACAGCAGCAGCAGCAGCAGCAGCAGCAGCAAAAGCTGCAGCAATAGCAGCAGCTGCTGCAGTTTCAGCAAGAGGGGGCTTTTATGGGTTTCAGCAGGTGCAGCTGGGGTGGCAGCTGGGCTGGCAGTTGGGGGCGGCTGATCACAGCCATTGGCTCATCACGGCTGTGGGCTGATCACAGCCATTGGCTCATCACGGCTGTGGGCTGATCACAGCCATTGGCTCATCACGGCTGTGGGCTGATCACAGCCATTGGCTCATCACGGCTGTGGGTTGATCACAGCCATTGGCTCATCACGGCTGTGGGTTGATCATTAATGCATAACCGTTCCAGCAGCACCGCCGAGTGAGTTTGTGTGAAACCGTTGGCTCACTCCAGCGTTACAGTGCTTGTAACGGGAACAGCTACAGTGCAATCTCGTTATAAGCATGCTGCTGAACCCGCCAACAGTTTCTCCCGGTGTGTATGTTGTTTGGCAGCAGCGCTCACACGCAGGCAGCACAGCATGCCCTGTCTGCTCCTCTGGTTCCACTGGAATGGTCCACGTAAAGCCATGCTCTGTGCGCTCAGCAAGTTCCGTGCTGACTGCTTCAGTCGGATGGGAGGCAATTCCACCATGGTATGGCTGGCACTGTACCACCATGGTATGGCTGGCACTGTACCACCATGGTATGGCTGGCACTGTACCACCATGGTATGGCTGGGACTGTACCACCATGGTATGGCTGGCACTGTACCACCATGGAATCGCTGGAGTATGACTAACGCTGTTGCGCTGTTCTGCGTGGGTTGTGGGTGCTATTTGCTTCGGTGGGCTGCTGCTTGTGCTTTGAGTCGACCCAAAACAGGCGGATGGGAGGCGGATGGGAGGTGATACTATGAGCCACCACGCCGTACGGGTGACACTGTTGCGCTGCTCTGCGTGCGCTGTGAGCGCTGCATTTAAACGTCTGGCGCTATTTCCGCTCGATTTGCTTTGGTGGGCTGCTGCGGGTGCTCTGGTGTGCTTCTGTCTGCTGTGTGTCTGCTCTTGCTGTGCTTTGGTGGGTGGGCTGTGTTGTGACTGCCTCGTGTGTACTCCCTCCCATGTGCTGGGAAAGCCGCAGTGGTGTCTTGACCTTGCAGCTGCTGTCTGCCCGTTGCGGTATGCTGCTCTTCGCTGTGTTATGGTGGGCAGCAGTGTGCCTATGCTGTCACTGCCTCCCTTCTGTGCGCTCTCATGTGTTGGGAAATGGCTCCAGGGGCGTGGTCTTCGCTCAAGCCAATCGCAGCCGTTGATCTTGATGTTAGAGCCCAGGGAGTAGTTGAGTAGTTTGATTTGATTAGGTGTCTGACAACTGACCTGCGATATTCAGTTACCGGTAGTTGCGTTAGGGCTGGAGCATGGTGTGGTAGGGTAGGTGACGGGGGTAGAGCACAAGAAGGCTATTGCACTGTAGATTAGCGTAAGTTTTTTACCATTGCTTATGGATTACCATTTTTATGTCTTAATCTGAACCTTTGAAGGAAGACAGGAGAAACTACACTGATCATTGACAGACGAAAGGAAATACCTAATTGATATTGTCATTACCATCAAGCACTTTTTGTCTTCAATATGCGTACACTAACGACTCCATCGAAACTGAATCCTTCCGAGGACTAGTGGGCGCAGTGAAGGATTTGATCGTGACATGACAACTGTGCCGTTTCAATGCGGTGGAAGATTCACGCTGCAGAATATGGTTAGATTCACTCATCGCCAGTGGTCATTCAACGAATCATTTGGGTCTTTCCTCGAGGAAATCTTGCCGCGCCACTGTCCTTGACATTATCCAACTCAGCGCCAGGTGGCTTCAAGTTCTAGATCCAAGGCTCGAATGGCTCGGCCAATGAGGTGCGGTGCTCACCCACGAAAAGTCGTTGATGACACCTCTTGCTACACTATACACCCTGTTTCTCGACCCTCTCACCTTGCGCGATTCGCTGCTACAGTGCGGTCAGGTGCCATAAACCGTATGGCTGAAACCTGCGGGGAAAGCCGCACCAGCTGACGGAGTGGTACTGGGGGCAAAATTTTTCTTTATCGCTGTATACCCTTTTCAACCGCTTTGAAACGCTTGGTTAATGTTCTTTACCATGCAGCATCCTAGCTAACCGCTTTCTTGTGAATGTGCTTGTACCGTCGGTGATAAGACCATTTCAAACGTGGTGACGTTCTACAACCTGTGCATGTTCTGCAACCAGATGCTCTGCTAGCGCGAAACAGGGTGTACTTAGCAAGAGGTGTAATCGAGGATAGAAGATATGAGCAATCGTTTCTTTTCCCTCAAGCGAAGTGAATCTTTCGTCGAAGCTGCTGAAAGTACGTAAGCGAGGGACTCGGCTGATTTCGTGGTCAGAATTCTTCCTCATTCACGGCCTGCGTACGTACAGGTTGGCGGACGCGGCGAAAGGACGCCCCGACATTTTCGCGTTCGCGAACTCCCACGCCAGCCTGCTTGTGCACACGAGGCGAATAAATTCTGACAGGAGGCCACCTGTGGCCAGTCTGTCACAAGTTTCGCACAAGGAACAAATTCGCCCCCCTTTTCAATTTCCGAACCGAACAAATTCTAGTCCACCCACCTTCCCTCACGCCTACCCCCGCTCCCTTCACTCCCTTCCCCTGAACGAGCCAAGCCAATCAATCACTCATCCACGTGCATTTCCCCTACACCCGAGGCTGGCGCGCTCAGCGCCGAACCGAAGTTCCCAGAGACCTCGAACGCCGCACGCTGCTCTCCCTTCAGTTCCGAAATGATCCCCGCAAACAACCCTACCCCCGGATCCAAAGATCTTCCCACACCCCCAAAAAATCCTTCAACTACTCTCAGAATGTCTTGCATACCACGCTGCAACGTTTTGAATCCCTCTCAAGCTTGAGTTATGTTTTTGTGCCATCCCCCAAGCTGAAAATTTATCAGAAGCCAATAGACCGGCCCGGTGTGCCTTGATTGGTTGGCGCTCGTGTTACCGGAACAGTGAGGTGAAGTGAGTAAAGCTGAGGTGAGTAAGTGGTTGGCGCTCGTCCTTGTCACCTCAGACCTGCATTTGGCCACAGATTCAGCAGCCATTTTCTCCCCCCGCACCCGCTGCCATTGCAAGCAACTGCAATTGCAATTTCCGCCTCTCCCAGCGAAACGGGACAGGGCCGGAGGAGACCGCGGCTGTTTCCGCAGAAAGTCGGTCTTCCGCTCCAACGTCCCAGCAAGTAATTTCGCAAGTATTTACTGCACTTCAGTTCACGAGCAGAGTCAAGTATCTGTTCCTGCCTTCCAAGTCAGCACTCCAGGTTGCTTCAGAAACTGCTAGCCACCGAAGCTAGCCCAGCTGACTAACAGGGTTCCTGACTGCATTTTGAGTACTAACTTGCACTCTCCGCTCTACCTACAAGAGGTTGTGCAAGATGATTCCCGGAGAGATTTCTCTCTGTCCGAGCTCCGGCTTTCCCATGGAGACGAACCAGAAGCTCGGTTCCAAGAGGCCTTGCGCAGACGCGTTCGACGCAGCAGACGACACCATGTTCTCCTTCGGTCAGACCGGAGACCTCTTTGATCGAGGGCTCGACCAACTAATGACGTACATGGGCGAAATGGGGGGGATTGCCGAGAAGGATAACAAAGCGCTCCCTAACGCGGACAGGCTTCTGCCGGATGATGTTCCCGAGGAGTCGGTTGGGGAGGGAGGTAGCCATGACAATTTCGGCATGTTCGACTCAAACCCGTTCGGTGCCGTGAATCTCGCTGCGTCGTTTCCGGAAGGCTCGTGCGAGCCGCAGCTAGTCCCGTGCGCTCAGAAGCCGGCTGCGACGACGACGACGACGAACGACGTCGCCGACTCAGTCGCAGACGGAGCGTTCGGATCGCCTGACGCGTTCAGCTCGCCGGACGGCTTCGCCTCGGAGGATTTCAATCTGTCGTTCGGGATGGATGACGTGGATGCGATGAACCAGCAGGACCTTCGTTACAATCTCATGCTCAGAGGAGCGGGCCTTGCAGGTACGCAGTGAAGAATAGCTATCCTACTCATTCTCATTTTCACTCTCGTGTCTCCCATACGTTCTTGCTCCTGTTTCCGTTTCCTGTTACCACGAAGATTTGTGGCTAACTCGTTATTTTCCTTTATTCTTTGTTTTTTCTGTAACGCAGAGCATTCTACCGCGGATGCTCCGTCTCATCCCAAGATGGAGTTCCCGGAGTACCCCGCGCATCACCCGATGAATCATCCGATGTATCCGCCGCACATGCCGCTCTACTATCCGGGAATGCCCACCATGCCGGTTCCCTACTACGGCATGCCGTACCCTCCCTTCGCGTACAACCCGTGGATGACTCCTTATTCCTCGCCCTTCATGCCTCCTCAACAGTAAGTATGCGTCGCGTAATCGTTCATTTACGAATTTGCTCAAGCGATGTCAGAGGTTTCTTTGTGCGGCCGACGGGAAGTCATGAGCCATGAACATCTATACTTCTCGAAAAGAACTCTAAAGCGGTGAATGGAAACTAACGATCGCTTTCTTTTTCTACTCTTCTGCAGTGCCATGCCTGGAACTAGCGCAATGCCCACCGACCCTGCAGCCATCGCGCGTCAGCGTCGCCTTGTCGCGGATTCCGTGCGCGGAAAGCGTCGACGACACGCACACCATGCCTCCTCGCAGCTCCCTTCCGCCGCATCTTCCGCCATGCCGTCCGTATCTGGTTACGGCCACCCTTTCCCATCCTCACCATCCATGCTCCCCTGGACTCACGTCAATCCCGAGGCTGCTGACTCAGTGAACACCGCTCCCCCTTCGCCGTTCGTTCCTGCTGCTCCCCTGCCGCCGTTCTCCCCCGCCGTCGTCCCGTCGTCTCCCAAAGCCGTCGCGTCTCCCGCACGGTGCGCCTCGCCTGTCCCCGCATCATCCCCCACTGCGGTGGGAAAAGGCGGCGCGGGGAAGGCTGCGGCGAAGAGTCCGCTGGGTAGATCTGCTCCTCCTGCTCCCGCTGCTGCTGCTGCTGCTGCTGCTGCTGCTGATGGCAAATCTCCTGCAGTGAAGTTCTCAGCTGAAGCGGATGTCGTTGCTGCTCCAGCCGCTACCCTGCCGGTTTCGCCTGTCCTTAAGATTGAAGAGGACGTGTTCGTTCCTACGGCTACCGCTCCCGTTATCCCCGCCATTGCCGCCCCTGCGGGCGGGCAGCAAGCTAAGGGAGGGAAGGCTGCGGCGAAGCAGCAGCGGGATGAGAGGCGCGTGAAGCGGCTGCTGCGGAACCGCGTGAGTGCGCAGCAGGCGCGGGAGCGGAAGAAGAATTATGTGTCGGAGTTGGAGCAGCGGTGCGAGACGGTTGAGAGGAGTAACGCGGAGATTGAGGGGGAGATTGCTGCGCTGATGGCGGAGAACGAGCGCCTGAGGCAGTCAATGCGGAGAGCCATCAGGGTCTGAGTTGGTACATTATTCCAGCAAATCCGTAAGGTGTACTCTGACTTACAACTTGTACAAATAATCTGAGCGGGACTGCAGCATGCATGATGGGAGTGCAACGGGAGTGAAGCTGGCTGGACCACAGGCGAAGGCTGTGGAGTTCGGAACTGTGGGATCTAGATGCTGAGGCACTTCTGGCGGATACAAATTGGGGAGATGGTGTCGGTAGACACTGGTGCTGGAGCAGAGGTGTCACGCTTTGGAGCAGTCTGATGGAATGCGTATTGAGGCTGATGCAGCTGCTTTCACATAGGAGATTTCTATGCTTGCGCATACCTTTTTGGATAAGCATGAGGGGTTAATGGCACTGTTAGCGCTTATGGAGTTGGACTCCAGTGCTTGCTGCTGGTTTGCTTGCAGGTCTTCTAGAGTAGGACACCAGATGAGTGAGGATCGGACCTTTCCAGTATGGTTTTTGAGGACAAGTCTGTGGTAGCAAGGTAATGAGTATACTAGATTAGGCAAATGTGGTAGCATGTACATACTCAAAAGTTATCATGTGCCCACTGTCCATCATTGTTAGTGTTCACCTGTGTTTTATCCCTGACTTTCAACACGTTTGGACGAAAGCAAGGCAGGAATTTGGTTGGTTTAATTGGGATGAAATTCACATATGTCAGTCTAACAAATTGTTCTAGTACGCATATAGACCGCTCTGCAGTGCAAAGCACCTCACGAAAACGCTTTCCTGACTACAACTTCGCTTCAAGCATCTTTACTGCAGTGCTGTGAGAAATTCTGGACTGGAGGACGTTGTTTTTGTCGTCACCCCGTTCAACCATTGTGCACCCAATTGAACCTTGGAAAGTTGATGACGTACGCACATGACCTGATGCAGCCAACCATGATGACAGACGAATACTGTTATGAATGAACTTGCAGAGTGCGCAGTAAAACGAATAACGTGAATGGAAATTACTGAATTACTGAATGACGATACAATGGAAGTGAAGAGGCCTAAATAGGGGAAGTCCTAGCTAGGCGGAGAGGTTGGGCGAGGATGGCTCGGTGATGGTTGCGATTGGTGCGGAGGCGACTCGGGAGTGGTTCGGTGCGACGAAATAGGAAGGGCAGGTTCGTCGCGTGACCCTCGGGATGGCCTCGCTAACGAGTGCCTCAGTAAGGATTTGTAAATCCTTACAAATACTACAATGTCACCGTACTGTAACGTTCTGCAAGGTGACGAACAGTGCTAACTTCGAAAGTTTGCCTCTGATCTAACCTCAGGACGCGGTGGAAGTGCTCGATCGGGGGTAGATCGATTCGATCACCGCACTGAACCCCGCATTTTGGACACGAAAGGTACACAACCTCACTGCGATTTTGGTGGCCATTTTCAAGCTAATTGCATCGCGTCGTAATCTGCGAGCACACATGAGGAGCGTTTAGTACGGACGGAAATGCCGCATCGTGATGATCAGTACTAGAACGAGTCACCGAGGTGATTGTGGTGGTCAAACCCTAGTCGAGAAAGATGGCGCCTCGGAGTGAAATTTACTAGGATTCGTTATCTAAGAACTCCTATTGCGAGAAGATGGGACCTCGTCGTAGGGCTGGTGTTGCAACGGACGTGGATTCGCCACGTGGCGCTGAACAGAAGGCGGATGCAAGCTCAGTAGATTCGAGACAGGCTCGACCCAAGTCCAGCGATGATGGTCGAGGCAAGCATAGCAGCGTCGCAGATCGTCGCCGAGCTGGTGGCATTGTGGTCGCGACAGCGGCGGCGTCGCGAGTAGTTATGCTGATACTGTTCTTCGCCTTCGACGCGATTCTAGAAGATTACGACACGTCAGCACGCATCTATTCCCCGTGTCGTCCGCGCCACGTATCCCCCGGAAATTCGTCTGCAGTAGACCGCACTCTGACACTCCTAGGAATTTCCCATGCCAGTAACGAAATATCTGACGAATCAACTCTCGTGACTGTCGCTACGGGTCGTATAGGCTTCGTTACCACATTTTCTCACGCGACTGAGTGGATCGTACGCCACTTCCCCCCTGAATTGTTTTCCACATCGCTAATTCAAAACTACCCAGGTAAATAACACCTCGCCCGCCATACCCCTGCTATCATTTACACCTGGTTTGACACGACTCACATATACACATTTTTCGTGTTTAAACCCAAAACCTTCAACCCCGAACCCTCTTCTCCCCCGGCAGCCCGCAACAGCATCGTACAGGGGAGAACATTCTGGTGGTGTGGGATTCGGTTCGGTCTTCGCCTTCCACCGCAATTCCCTCTGTGGCTGCATGACACCCCCTCCCCCCCACGCCAACAACCCCATACCCCACCCCACACACCCAATCCAGACCATAGCAGCATGGCACAGCGAACGTTGGAGGGCTTGGTGGTGTGGGATTTGGTTCGGTCTTCTTCCACCGCATTGCCCTCTGCGGCTACGAGTTTGAACATGCCCACGCCTTCTTCCCCACCCTGCCTTCCCCTATGATAACCCCTTTCCTCCTTGCCCCTCTGCCCCCCTAATCAGGTCATAACAGCATCGTAAATCAAGCATTAGAGAGCCTGGTGGTGTGGGATTCGGTTCGGTCTTCTTCCACCGCATTGCCCTCTGCGGCTACGAGTTTGAACATGCCCACCCCTTCTGTCCCCACCCTGCCTTTCCCTATGATAACCCCTTTCCTCCTCGCCCCTCTGCCCCCCCTAATCAGGTCATAACAGCACCGTACAGCAAGCATTAGAGAGCCTGGTGGTGTGGGATTCGGTATTTTTCCACCGCATTGCGCTCTGCGGTTACGAGTTCGAGCAGGCCTACGCTTTTTTCCCGCTCCTGCCCTTGCTCATGAGGCTCCTTGCCACTGTCACACCCTGTAAGGCCTACGCATTCTTGTCCTCCCTGCCCCACTACACATTCGCTATCTCCTTTCGCCTTCTTTCCCGCTCCTGCCCTTGCTCATACAACTCCTCGCCACTGCCACCCCCTGTAAGCCCTGCTCTCTTCCACACTCACTCCATCCCTGTAAGACCTCCTTTCCTCTCCTGCCTTTGAGAACAGCTCTACCTGATCAGTCGTCCTGCCTCCTCACCTCCTTGCCTTCTTCCCTCTCTTGCCTTGAGGCTGTCTCTTGATTCATGCGTCTCCTTGCCACTGCCACCCCCTGTAAGCCCTCCCTTCCTCTTCCGCCCTCTGTACCCAATACATATGTCCTCCCTTTTCACTATCGCCTATACATTCTTTTCCCCACCTTTCATTCCCTCCTCACCTGTCCTCCTATCCATGCTCCCTTCTGACCACCCCCTCCCCCCCCCCCAACCCCTTCCCCCCCTTCTCAATTCCCTCAGTCAGCCTGCTACTCCCCATTCTCAGGGCTCCAGCCACCTTCGCCCTCGTGGGACCGCCTTTTTCCAGCACCGCTTTTGTTGCAGCAGCTTACCGCCCCTCCTTCCCTCCTCTCCTCCTCTCCTGTCCTCCTATTCTTGACTCTTCTATCCCTCCACCCACCCACCCACCCCCTCCCTCCTCCCTCCCGGTTCCCTCAGTTCGTTTGCTTCTCAACATTCTCGGAGCTCCAGCCACATTTGCCCTTGTGGGACTGCTGCTCTCGAATGCCACCTTTATTGCTGCAGCATACTGCCTTTTCAGGTAACTCCCAAGTCCGGATGGGTAAGGTGAATCGTTGCGACTCTTGAGTCGACTCAAAAGTCACTTCGTTTTGAGTCGACTCAATAGATATGGGTAAGGTGAGTCGTTGCGACTCGTCAGGTGATTCTGGAGGCGCCTCATAAGTCATTCCTTTATCTCTTTGGAGATCACTTGAAGAGGCAGCAAGCTGGTCCTTCAAGTGATCTCTCACAAGATGCGAGCGAAAAGAGTGGAAATTGCTTTTAAGAATTCTCAGAAAGAAGTGATTCCCTTTTTAACCTTCTGTCCTTCAAATCACCCCTCAAATGTGCTTCAAGTGTGCTCCGCTTAAACGAGCTGTTTGCTTTGCTCGTTGCAGCCTGACCGTTAGTGTTCTTTCTGACGCGCGCCTGGCCCTGCTCTCCGCCCTCGTCTCCCCTTCAAATGTGCTCTTCTTGGACGTCCTGCCCTGTGAAAACCCTACAAATGTGTTTCAAGTGTGCTTCCCTTGAACGTGCTGTCTGATCACTGCAGGCTGACCGAATGTGTTCTCTCGGACACGCGCTTGGCCCTCCTCTCCTCCCTCTTCCTTCTGCCTCACACGTTTCATCGGGAACATGTTTCTCCACGTGCTTCTGTTTTCCCTCTTTGCTCTTTGCAGGCTGACCGAGTGTGTTCTTTCTGACTCGCGCTTGGCCCTCCTCTCCTCCTTCTTGAGGCTCCTCAAGGGATCAATCTACGCCTGCTCCTCTTGAACGTGCCCTGTCATGTGTACTCTCTGCAGGCTGACCGAATGTGTTCTCTCCGACACGCGCTTAGCCCTCCTCTCCTCCCTCTTCTTCTGCCTCACTCCCGCCTCCACTTTTTACTCTGCCATGTAAGTTGGGAGACTGGTTATGTGTGTTTGTGTGAGAAAGAGGGAGAACGGGCATGCTGCGCATTCTTGCCTCCTCTCCTCCCTCCCTCTTCTTCTGCCTCACCCCCGCCTCCACTTTTTACTCTGCCATGTAAGTTGGGAGACTGGTTATGTGTGTTTGTGTGAGAAAGAGGGAGAACGGGCATGCTGCGCATTCTTGCCTCCTCTCCTCCCTCCCTCTTCTTCTGCCTCACCCCCGCCTCCACTTTTTACTCTGCCATGTAAGTTGGGAGACTGGTTGTGTGTGTTTGTGTGAGAAAGAGGGAGAACGGGCATGCTGCGCATTCTTGCCTCCTCTCCTCCCTCCCTCTTCTTCTGCCTCACCCCCGCCTCCACTTTTTACCCTGCCATGTAAGTGAATGACTTCGGGGGAATGAGTCTGAGGAAGTGACTGTGAGAGTGTGTGTGAGGGAGTGTGTGTTTGTGTGTGAGATGGGGAGTGCGCATCTGTGAGAGGGTGGGTGAGAGCCCCAGTCAAGGGGAGGGTCCGAGGGGAGAGTGAGAGGGAGAGTGAGAGGGAGAGTGTATGTTAGAGGGAGATTGGAGTCTTTGTGTCCTTCTCTCCCCCACCTCCCCCACATCCCCCACCTCCCCACTTGTCCTGGCCGCACCACCTCGTCCCAACTCACCCCACCCCACCCCACCCCATCCGACCCCACCACACCCCTACCTAAACCACCCCACCCCACCACCCCTCCCCTTTGACCCCAACAGCTATTCCGAAAGCCTATTCGCTCTGCTCTCCTTCGCTGCCATGTGGCGCGTTGTGAGTGGCCGATGGTTCTCGGCATCCCTCCTAATCGCCCTCTCAGCAGCAGTGCGCTCAAACGGCGTCCTGCATGCAGGCTTCTTCCTCTTCTCACTGCTGCAGGTGCGCGCCTCTAGTGAGTCTGCAGGTATGTTCCTCTTCTCATCGCCCTCTCAGCAGCAGCTCACTCCAACGGCGTCCTGCACTCAGTCTTCTTCCTCTTTGCCACACTGCAGGTAATTTAGTTGCTGACTTGGTAATTTAGCAACAACTCCCTCCTCATCGCCCTCTCAGCAGCAGCTCGCTCAAACGGCGTCCTGCATGCAGGCTTCTTCCTCTTCTCCTCGCTGCAGGTGTGTTCTCACTTCAGGTATACTATCATCTCCTCTTTGCCTCCCTCCCTCTTTGCATCGCTGCAGGTGTGTTCTCACTTCAGGTATACTATCATCTCCTCTTTGCCTCCCTCCCTCTTTGCATCACTGCAGGTGTGTGCTTGCTGCACCTTGCAAGCGTGCACTCCCTCCCTCATAATCTCCCTCAACCCAATACCGAACTGACTGGCTCTGCTCTTGCTCCCCTTCCTCTTCCTCCCTGCCTCCACCTCTCCTTCAACCAGCAGTTCCCACATCCAACCTCTGTTGCAGTGGCAGTTCAGTGCTGTCAGGCCGCAAGGGTTTATCCAGCACTTCCCACATCCAACCTCTGTTGCAGTGGCAGTTCAGTGCTGTCAGGCCGCAAGGGTTTATCCAGCAGTTCCCACATCCAACCTCTGTTGCAGTGGCAGTTCAGTGCTGTCAGGCCGCAAGGGTTTATCCAGCACTTCCCACATCCAACCTCTGTTGCAGTGGCAGTTCAGTGCTGTCAGGCCGCAAGGGTTTATCCAGCAGTTCCCACATCCAACCTCTGTTGCAGTGGCAGTTCAGTGCTGTCAGGCCGCAAGGGTTTATCCAGCACTTCCCACATCCAACCTCTGTTGCAGTGGCAGTTCAGTGCTGTCAGGCCGCAAGGGTTTATCCAGCAGTTCCCACATCCAACCTCTGTTGCAGTGGCAGTTCGGTGCTGTCAGGCCGCAAGGGTTTATCCAGCAGTTCCCACATCCAACCTCTGTTGCAGTGGCAGTTCAGTGCTGTCAGGCCGCAAGGGTTTATCCAAGATTGTGACACACGTCTCACATCTCTCACTCCTCTCCCCATGCCTCCTCCCGCCTGCCTCCTCCCCTCCTTCAGGCAGCAGGGCCCTTCATTCTCCCTCTCCTGCCATTCCAGCTGCTGCAGCGGTTGATCAATGCTGTCAAGAAGCAAGGAAGTGAACCGAGAGAGCAGCACCCCCCTCACAAGTCATCTGAGAAAAGGGCGGAGAGAAGAGTGGCAGCAACGGAACGGGCAGCAGACCGAATCGGGCCGCTTCTGGAAAGGAAGCGGCAACTGTGCCGCAAGAGGTGAGCACTCTGGAAAGAAAGGGATTTTAGACCGACACACATCCCACAAGTCAACTGAGAGACGGACAGGCAGAAGAGTGTGTGTCTGTCCGTATAGGGTCAGCAACTGAACCACTTTTGAGACGTCTCAAAAGAGACGGACAGGCAGAAGAGTGTCAGCAACAGAACCAGCTGACCCTATCGGGCCACTTTTGGAAAGAAATTGGCAACTGTGCTGCACCAAGTGAGCACTCTCTTATCTCTCCCTTCCATTCTTTCTGGTTTGCTTTTTATGTTCCGCTTCTCTTTTTCATTGTTCCCTCTTCCCCACCCCAATTCCTTCCCATCCTCCTCCCCACACCCTCCTGCTCTTTCCTCTCCTTCTCCCTCCTCCTTTCATTCCAAGCCTTCGCCTTCATCCAAATTGATTCCTCCTCTTCTTGTTTTTTCCTGCCCTTATGCCTCCGCTTCCCCCCATTCCCCTCCCCTCCCCCTCTCCTCAATCCCCTTTTTCCTCCCATTCCCCCTCCCAGGCTCCTACCCATCCTCCTCTCCACCGCCCTCTGCTGCCTCCTCTCCTTCTCCCTCCTCCTCTCCTTCCAATTCTTCCCGTTCACTCAGTTCTGCCGCCCTGCTGCTAGCACTAGAACGTCCCCGGCCAGTGAAACGCCTCACGACATCCCCCCCTGGTGCCTGGACTCCGTTCCTTACATTTACGGCTATGTTCAACGCAAGTACTGGTAAGTAGCAGGGGCACCAACATCTGCTTTCTCTCAGTTCTGCCGTCCTGCCAGCATCAGAACGCCTCAAGGTGTTCCCCCATGGTGCCTGGACTCCCTTCCTTACATTTACGGTTATGTTCAACGCAAGTACTGGTGAGACAGCAGCAAGCAGCACGCAGCAAGCAGCAAGCAGCACTGCCTCTCCCTCCTCTCCCTCTCTCCCTCCTCTCCTTCTCCCTCCTGCTCTCCCTCCGAGCCTTCACTTTCACCCAGTTCTTCCGCCCTGCTGCTAGCACCAGAACGCCCTCCTGAACTGCTGCTAGCACCAGAACGCCCTCCTGAACTGCTGCTAGCACCAGAACGCCCTCCTGAACTGCTGCTAGCACCAGAACGCCCTCCTGAACTGCTGCTAGCACCAGAACGCCCTCCTGAACTGCTGCTAGCACCAGAACGCCCTCCTGAACTGCTGCTAGCACCAGAACGCCCTCCTGAACTGCTGCTAGCACCAGAACGCCTCGAGACACCCCCTCTTTTGAGACGTCTCAAAAGTCCTCGAGACACCCCCTCCTGGTGCGTAAATTCAGTTCAGTTCGCTCCTTCACCTACCCCCTCTCTCCACAGGAATGCAAGATATCTCAGACACTTGATCCAACTCCTGAATCGATTTTTGAGTTGTCTCCGAAATGGGATGCGGGATGTCTGGGATTCTTTCAGCTGAAGCAGCTTCCCAGTGTTCTCCTACTAGCAGCACCCACCCTCCTCCTCTCCCTCTCTGCCGTCCTCCTCTCCCTCCCTCCCTGCTGTACCATCCTATCCCTTGCACTCAATTGCCTCTTCCTCTCCTTGTCTGTATGCCCCCTCTCTCCCTGCAGGGATGTGGGATTTCTCCACTACTTTCTGCTGAAGCAGCTCCCCAACTTCTTCCTAGCAGCGCTGTCCCTCCCTTTCACCCCACTCACCTCACCTGCCCCTCCTGCTCCTTCCTCCCTGCCCTCTCTCCCCTCAGGGATGTGGGATTTCTCCGCTATTTTCAGCTAAAGCAACTCCCAAACTTTCTCCTAGCAGCACCCACCCTCCTCCTCTCCCTCTCAGCCATCCTCTCTTTCGCACTCACCCGCCCCCTCCTCTTCCTATCTCTCGGTCTCCTCTCCTCTCCTGCTGACCACCACCACCTCCTCTTCCTTCCACCCCCCAACCACCCAAAAGCACGAGAGACGGAGGAGGACGTGAAGGAGGAAGCAGAGGAAGAAGGAGAGGAGGAAGGGGAGGTGGAATGGAGAAGCTATGACCGTTTGAGAGGATGCAGGGGGTTCTATTCCGCTGCTGCACTGCCGTTCCTGCTGCAGCTGCTGTTCATGACAGCAGTGGCAACGTTGGTGATGCATGTACAGGTGAGGCCCTTGTGAGTGAGAGCGTATGTTCTACAAGACGCGTCACGAATGTATTGCTGCAGCTGCTGTTCATGACAGCAGTGGCAACGTTGGTGATGCATGTACAGGTGAGTACGAAAGGAGTTAGTATGGCCATTTGTGGGGATGCAAAGATGCGGGGGGTTCTATTCCGCTGCTGCTCTTCCGTTCCTGCTGCAACTGCTGTTATGGCAGCAGTGGCAACGTTGGTGATGCATGCACAGGTGAATGAGAGTGTGTATTCTCTTGGACACCTCATGACAGCAGTGAAATGCTAGTGATGCATGTACAGGTGAGTAATACGGGTGATGCATGTTCAGGTGAGTCAGCTCTTGTGTCCCTGTGGAAAATTCTGCAATTCCTAGTGATTACTGATTCATTAGAGGGGGAAAAAATAATAAAATTTCTGTAATATCCACGGAGCTTATAGAACGTTTATGTTTTAACCCATTATGGAAAAAACTTCACAGTGACGTCATGTATTTCGATAGCGGAAAACTTTACGAATGAGGGTGGGGCCATTTGTCGGATAATGCGTTATCGCCCCTTTGCCTCATGTTACGCCACGGGGCCGAATCAAATAGGGGGGGGGGGGGCTCCATCCGGGAATACAGTAACACAGGATGTTTTCCTCCTGCTAGCTTTGACTGTGTTACAGTCAAAGAAGACGTCAAACATTCGGTAGCTTCTTTCCATATCCCCTCGCTGCTTCTCCCCGCAACCCCTCCGCCCCCCATCCTCCCTTTCCCCCCACCTCGCAACTCCCTCCCTTGTGAGTTTCAGGTGGCTACTCGCTTCCTCTCCTCCTCACCTCCTCTCTACTGGTTCCTGGCCCATCTCCTCACATCAGCAATTACCATGCACTCTCAGGCTGTCCCCCCACCCAACGCCCCCACCCTCCCATACCCCCTCCCCTCACCCCACCTCGTGACCCCCTCCCCTGTGAGCTACAGGTGGCAACTCGCTTCCTCTCCTCCCCACCTCCTCTCTACTGGTTCCTGGCACATCTCCTCACATCGGGACATTCCAAGCAGTCTCAATCCAAACCCCCATCCCCCTCACCCCACAAATATCTTCCTTTTGAGCTACAGGTAGCAACTCGCTTCCTCTCCTCCTCGCCTCCTCTCTACTGGCTCCTGGCCCATCTCCTCACATCGGGTTATGCCAAGCAGTCTCAGCCTGGGCCCCCCACCTCCCTCCCTCCTTTCCCTTCTCCCCTCCCTCCGTTGTGGGTTTCAGGTGGCAACTCGCTTCCTCTCCTCCTCACCTCCTCTCTACTGGTTCCTGGCACATGTCCTCACATCGGCAAATACCGAGCTCTCTAAATCTGCCCGCAAGTCTTCTGCAAACGAGGATCAAAGGTGGGAGTTGTTTATGATAAGAGCATGGATAGGTGTGTCATTGGGATATGCTGTTATTGGCTCCTTGCTCTTCATCAATTTCTATCCTTTCACATAGATTTGTTTTTTAGCCATGTTCTTGCACCTCAGGCACACGTTTTGCTGCATTTATAGAAAAAAACGAAACATGAGGGAAACGTTGGAACCATAACGCCAATAAATATGGACTAGTCCAGCGTCAACCACCCACGTGTACAGTGCCTATCCCCCGTCATTGAGTTAATTCAAAGAAGGGTTATGTGAGCAGAGAGAAAGAGGGTTATGTGAGAAGTGAGGAGGCTAGTGTGAGAGGATATACGGGAGATTATGTTGGAGGATCAATGGGTCATGTGAGAGAGAAAGGGGGTTCTGAGAGGAGAGTGAGGTGGTCATGTGAGAGAGAAAGGGGGTTCTGAGAGGAGAGTGAGGTGGTCATGTGAGAGAGAAAGGGGGTTCTGAGAGGAGAGTGAGGTGGTCATGTGAGAGAGAAAGGGGGTTCTGAGAGGAGGTGGTCATGTGAGAGAGAAAGGGGGTTCTGAGAGGAGAGTGAGGTGGTCATGTGAGAGAGAAAGGGGGTTCTGAGAGGAGGTGGTCATGTGAGAGAGAAAGGGGGTTCTGAGAGGAGAGTGAGGTGGTCATGTGAGAGAGAAAGGGGGTTCTGAGAGGAGAGTGAGGTGGTCATGTGAGAGGAGAGCAAAGGGGTTATGTGAGAGGAGAAAGATTGTCATGTGAGAGGAGGGAGATGGGTTGTGTGTGAGGAGGGAAAGGGGTTATGTGAGAGGAGGGAAGGGGGTTATGTGAGGAGAGAAAGGGTACAGTTATGTGAAAGGAGTGAAAGGGATTATGTAAGACGAGCAAAGGCGACACGTGAGAGGGGGGAACAGGGTTATGTGAGGCTGGAAGGAGGTTATGTGAAGGTTGTAAGCTTACGTGAGAGGAGGTGAGAGGAGGGAAGGGGGATGGTCTATGAAGAGAGAAGGGGGATCATGTGCAAGGAGAGAGGGAGCTTGTGTGAGAAGAGACGTACACAACGTCTGCCCCCCTACCGACTTCTGTTAGCCACAGAAGTCAAGAGATTATAGGCGTAGACCCTTTGGACCCTCAGGAAACCCAGGACCCTTAGGACCCTCAGGGTTGCTCCTCCTCCGTTAGTTCCCACTCAAAGAGTCTCGAGACGATGTGTCAGCAGTAATGGATTGTCAGATGATTTTGTAGATGCTTCAAAGAAGTCAGCTTGATTAGGACCCTGCATTTCCTCCGTTTGTCCCGACTCGCACAATGAATCGGTAGTTATGGATTGTCCGCTGAATTCAGCCTCAGCCGCTTGGAACTTTCTCATCAGGTCTCGCCTCACTGTAGAGTACAAGCTGATCCGACGGCCGGTGGGACTCGCCAGCTTTATTGGAGCTCCGGGACAGGATCTCGACCGTCGATGCTGGGTCTTGTTGATTGGTGTGCGAGTCGTCAAACCGATGCCTGAAACGAAAATAACAAGGTGGTGTCAACTTTAGTAACATCATAATGAATGAATCATATAGTTATATAATTTACCATGCGCACTCAGTAAGTAGGTCGTAGTGACATTACTGCTATCTTCGCTTCGACGCCGGCTCTGGGACGTTGGCTGGCTCGATTCCCGACTCGATAAATAATCCATGTTCGTGGAATAAGATAAACCCCGGCATCTCCATGATCGTCAAACGCTGGCTCCAACGGAACTAAACCATGACTCGGAAGTAAGTATGTCTGCTCAACATTCTGTGGCGTATCCAGGGACATGACACAACGGTGCTATTACTGTGCCTCGCAGCTGCATCTCAAATATAGTTAGGCGGAGGGGGGGATGTGTTGGGAAGACCTCGCCCGAATCCCTCCGAGGACCCCCTTTCGCCCCTGCGGGTTTTCCTCGGAGGGATTTCCGTTTTCCCTCCGTCGCCTAGCGGGGCACGCGAGGGGCGGGAGCCAGCCCACCCGCCCGCCCGAAACGAGCCACGCCAGCTCGGAGTGACGCGAGGTGGTCCTCGCTCGAGCTGGCGAAAAATACAGAAATACAGTCCAACATTGGATTGGGCCCAGAATGACTTCCACGCTCACCATGCCTTGTGCACGCATTCTACACCCTCTTTCTCACTACACTGAACTGTGCTGAACTGATGGAAAACCTAGTTACCTTCGATTTGTCTGATTGAACCATACCTAGACTTAATCTAACCACGTTAACCGTGCTTTTCCAATCTTGACTTCACTATAACCGAATTCACAATGGCGAGAAAGAGGGTGTAGTGATGGGATGTGATGGGATCATGGGACCACAAATCCCTACTACAGCAGATCCGGCATAAGGTTGGTTTACAAATCGCGTGGGTGGGAAATTAACACAGAACTCAAACACGCAGCAAAACGGATGTTCTTTTTTTTTTTTTTGATATCAAATACATTACAGGAATGTATAAACATCGACAGTCGTAACTGTTATGGGGAGGAGAGCGCTACAATAGCTAGTATCGCAGATCTCCTCTGAGACAGCTATGGTGGCTGGTGCGTCATTCTGGGGTTGTTCCAGATTGTGCTGAATTCGACCCTCCACGTCAGCGGTACACCGCTGCTGCAGATGCGTCGCATCACCACCGCTTCGTCATCTGCCAGGTGTGCCCACTCATCATTCGGAAACTGTCCCTTCTTCCGCGTTGTCGCCTCGCGCGCCAAACAGTACATCCTGACGTGAGCGATGAACCTTATCATCGCCTGCCGAGCCACTTTCCCGGCCTGAAAAACCTCGTTTCTCCACGCTGCATTGCACCTTGCTAGCCACACCTGGTGCAGGAAGATTGCGATCCACGTCCCTTCCGGAAAACTCGACAACGTGTTTCTCTGCGCGAAAAGCAGGTCTTCAAGATCCAGCCACGCTAGGTTCGGGTGCATCACCTCCAACCCTCGTCTGAGTACGTCCGTCACCCCCTGTACTGCAGGGCACCTGAGAAGGCAGTGGTCCGGGGTTTCTTCCCCTCGGCAGTGCGGGCAGACCACCCCCATGAAGAAAAGCCTCGAGCCCACTTGCAGATTTCTACAGTGGAGCCGTAGCAGGATCTCACGTGCCCGTCGTGGGGTGGCAAGGGAGTCACTCTGCCCTATGACTCTGTCCCACTCAATTTCCCTCCTTTGCCCTTCCCACCTCCTCTGATCCTCATGTGGTACAGCTGCGCTCGCCAGCACCATCCTTATCCGTCGCAGCGAGATTAATTCTCCCCCTTTACATGCTTGCGATAGCAGCAGCTTCGTTCGTACGTCACCCATGGGCCCCAGAAAATTATGGCCCTCCGTGTACATCGGCACCCCGCTGCGCAGCCCAAAGTCCACCGTGAGGTTGCCTTCGTAGGGCGTGAAATATCCACCGCTTCCCACGTCGCACAGGATTCCCACCACCTTATCATCCTTTGCTCCCTCGACCTTCCAGTAAGTGAAGTTCTCAGTCCCGGCGTTGTGCGAACGCAGTAGCTTCACCGTGGCCACCACCTCATCGCTCGTCAGCTTTGTGAGTATTATATTCCTCCAGCCCGGGGGCGCAGCTTGGAAAGCCCTCAACGCCCATTTCGCCTTCTCCTTGTTCCCCAGCTCTCTTGCCAGTGCCTCCAGCTTTTTGAGTTCGCATGTTCCATCCCGTGACTTGACGATCAGGTCCCCCATACGTAAGCCCAGCAGCGCCTCCGTTCCTTTCTGGTTCCCGAAAGGACTTGCGCCTCTGTAAAGGATGTTCGGGTTCAAAGCCAGGTGCTCCTGCTCCACCTCCCAACGGTTCGTCGGGGCACGTGTCTTGTACAGCGGCGAATCCCAAAATTTCACGATTAACTCCTTCCAGCGTGCGCTCCCCTTTTCCCAGTGGTCTAGCAGCGATTTGTGCGCGAAGATTGTGTCCAGCCCCAGGGGCATCTCCGCCGCCCTCTCCGCCAGCCACTTCTTGACGGAGCTCGGCCGCAGCACCAGACGGCAGACGTTCCGAATGGAGATGCTGTTGACCCTCTGCTCAGGGCAAATCAGACCCAGCCCCCCGCCCTTCCGCGGTGTGCAGACCAGTTGATAGTTCCAGAGGATGAAGCGTTTCTCCTCCGCTGCTTCTCCCTTCGAGACGAAGGTGTGGCAGATCTTGCGCATCTTCCAGATGGCCTCCGGCGGCAGGTATATTTGTGCCTGGAAAAGAAAAATCGGAGTGATGTAGCTGTTGATTATCGTCACTCTCGTCGATGTCGTCGGGTGTTGCATCTCCCACTTTGCTCACTCTCCCTTCGCCCTGTCCAATGCTTTGTTCCAGGATGGAGTTGGGTCACCATTCGGCGTGATCCAGATCCCCAACAGTCACTCCGGCTCCTCCTTGTCCGCCCATTTGTAACGCAGGTTGTGCGGTGGCGGCTTCCCACGGTTTTTCCCCAGCGGGAAGACTACCGTTTTCCCCTCGTTCACCACCAGCCCTGACTCTCTTCCGAAGACTGTCAGAACATCCACCGCTGCTTCCAGCTGCTCTGCTCCGCGCAGTAAAAGTGATGTATCATCGGCGTAACCCAGGTATGCTAGCGTGCCCACACCTCGCTTCCCGATTCCCAGCTTTTTCCGATTAATCTCTTGGCATAGCGGCTCTACTGCACAGAGGAAGAGGTACGGCGCCAGCGGGCAGCCTTGGCGCACTCCCTTCTCCACCGCCACCCTGTCTCCTGTCCAGCCATTGATGTGCACGCACGTCCCCGCGTCTTTGTGCAGCCCCTCTGTCCAGGATACGAAAACCTCTGGTAAACCCAGCTTCCGCAACGTGTCAAAGAGGTAGTCCCCCGAGATTGAGTCAAAAGCCTTTTGAAAATCAATCATCATCAGGTACCAGTCCTCTTTCCCATTTGCTCCTGCTTCTATGGCATCCGCGACCACCGACACCGCGTCCGCCAGCTGCCTACCAGGTAGGAACCTGTCAGAATCCCAACCACTAGACCATTGGGATTAAAGGGCTTGTTTCAGTAGCGGGTCAGTGCGCCCATAACCCCCCAGGCGAACGCGCCTGTAACCCTCTCCAGGATCAATCGGGCATCCACAGTGCAGATCTACTGACACCCCCCCACACTGGGAGGCCCAGGACTGAGCACAGTGGCAACGGCCAACGTGTGCATACACCGGGATTCGAACCCAAGACCGCTCTGATACCATGTCAGAATCCCAACCACTAGACCATTGGGATTAAAGGGCTTGTTTCAGTAGCGGGTCAGTGCGCCCATAACCCCCCAGGCGAACGCGCCTGTAACCCTCTCCAGGATCAATCGGGCATCCACAGTGCAGATCTACTGACAGAACCCGTATTGGTCCTCCGAGATGACCTCGTGCAACACCACCTTGAGCCGGCCCGCCATCACCTTTGCTATGATTTTGTAAACCGTACTAAGGAGCGTTATCGGCCGATAGTTCCCCAGGTCGCCTTTATCCCCCTTCTTATGCAGCAGGATGGTCACAGCTGTTGAGACCGTGTGCGGCAACGCCTCTCCGCCCATGAATCTCCTCACCAGGTCCATCAGCACTGGTCCCAGCAGCCCCCAGTTGTGATCGAAGAGCTCTTTAGGCAGCCCGTCAGCGCCCGGTGATTTCCTTGGGGCAAGTTCCCGTATTGCTTTCCGAACCTCGTCCTCCGTCCAGGGTGCACTCAGCGCCCTGATGAAAAGTCAGGAAACGACAACGAATGTTGAACTGATATTAGTTGTTCTGGTGCTTGTGATCTGTATACCCAATCTGTGTAACTTGCGGGCCTGAAAGCCAACAGAATCACGCAACCGTAACTTTGAAAGGGGCCACGGATTGAAACGAACAAAACAATAATAAATGCTGTAACAAACACAATTTTGTACGGCTGTAAGCAGTCACAACTGTTCAGTTGTAAACACGACACGAAATCTCTCAGGTGTACGTACAGTTCGACTGTACGCGCACTACAGAAGCACTACGATGGCTGGAAGGGATTCCCCGATCAAGACCGTTCCGAACAAGACACTGAATGCTGTACATTACAGACTTGAGGAATGTATCGAATTACACATGATGCCCGTTTGACTAACCCAAGGTTGCCTTGCTAAGAAAACTCTTAAGCGTTTCTTGTATTTCGCTAAGCTTTCGTCAATTCGCACTTAGCGAAAAGGGCTTTTAAAATATTTTGTAACTCGCTGTTGACCGTTTGACATGGGTCTCTTCTGTCAAACTTCGGTTTTTGTGGTTCATATTGCTCGAGGTGCTTATAAACGGGGTGCAACTGCCTGGTACCCTAATACACGGGTGCAGAGTTTCCATCGCGGGCGGAGCAAATTCGCGTGCAGGGGCTGGGCATCTTGTGTAAAAGAAGCATAGGCCTGCCCTTCAGCGTTCAGGTGTATTGTTCGAGATATTTCTGCACAAACATGGGCATGCGATTTTCCATTCGTGAGATATTTTCTCCACGACAGCAACCAGACATGGTGTTTCTGCCACTGAACCTGCCTTTCCTCCCATAGGTCCTCGGGGGTGACTGCCCGTGATATCCCGCGTTGAACAGCCTGGCTGGCAGGACATTATTTACCGACCGTTACACGTGGCAGCTCTGTCTGCAGTGCATTGGATTGGCACCGATGGACGGACCCATTCCCGACAAGAAAAGGGCCATGGCCTGTGGCCCTGAAGGCAGGCACACAGGTGCCAGAACACAACACATAGCCCCGTCATCTCCACAATAAGGAATACCTCGATACATGATGTGTATAATTCTGTATTTCTCAACTGAATGTAGTTTTTTTTAGATGTGAATCCCACTTTCCCGCATTAAGTCAAAGGGTTCCATCTACAGCATCATGTTTATGCTTTATACTGTAACCTTTCTGCACATACACAGGTCGATTGATTTCCTGGTCGATTGATTGAAGTACCGTATACATGTGAGGAGGAAGACGAGATGCATTGGTGTGCAAGTGAGGAGTGGAGCGAGCGTAAGAGCTAGATGAGGATGACGAGACAAGCGTTGGCGAGGTGTTGGGAGGACTGGAGGAAGTGAGGAGGAGTGGGGTGAGCGAGAGCAGGTGCTAGAGGAGGAAGACGAGAGAGGGATTGCTGAGGGGGTGAGGGAGGAGGAAGAGAGAAGCGTTGCAGAGCGGTGGGAGGACTTGAGGAGGTGCGGGAGGGGCGAAGCATGAACGAAGGACACACGGCAGGGACCTTCAGTTGAGAGGATCTGAGGAAGAGGCGGAAGAGGAAAAAAGCATTGCAGAGGAGGTGGGAGGACTGGAAGGGGTGAGGGAGGGGCGAAGCACGAATTATTCGATTCACGACAAAGTGAGTTATGTGAGAGATCTGAGGTGGAAGAGGAAGAGGAGCGAGGCGTTGGAAAAGTGGTGGGAGGATTCGAGGGGGTGAGAGACGCGAAAGCGCGGATGCCTCAAATCACGAAAGCTTTTCAATGTAGAAACCGCGTGTAATGAGTCTGCTTTTGAGTCGACTCAAAAGTGGGAGGATTCGAGGGGGTGAGAGAAGCGAAAGCGCGGATGCCTCAAATTTTGAGGCGCCTCAAAAGCGCGGATGCCTCAAATCACGAAAGCGGTCTTTGCATGAGAATTGGTGGAGGGAGAAGAGACAGTGGAGCGAGGCGTTGGGGAGGCGTTGGGAGGATTCGAGGAGGAGAGGAGTGGGGTGGAGGGGGAGGAGGAGGAGAGGGAAGGGAAGAGGCGCTTTTGCTTGGCGGAGCGCGAGGGGGAGGATGGCGGGTCTGCCAGGGGCCAGCGCGGTCTGAGCTCCACCTGATGTTGGTCAATCAAAGGGAGAGGCATGGCAAGGAAGGGGAGTGGGGGACAAAAAAAAGGTAAGAGGATGGAGTGTGATGGGGAGGATGGGGGGTCTGCCAGGGTCCATCGCGGTCTGAGCTCCACCTGATGGCCCCTGGCACGTGTCAAGAGAAGGAAGGGAGAAACAGACAGATGACGGCAAAAACGACGAAGAAAGGAAAGAAACGATATAAGGGGAAAGAATACGGCAGGGGATAGCAGGGCCTAACACCCCCCTGATGATGCATGGAAAATGCAAGGGAAGAAAGGAGAGAGAGTGGCGAAAAAACGTATGGAGAGAGACGTATCAAAAACACCCTCTCCACACGTGCCTGACACCGCCCTGATAATGCATGGAAAATGCACGGGAAGAAAGGAGAGAGTGTGGCAGGAAACATGAAGAGAAGAGTCCGACAGGGGCCGGAGGGGTCTTAGCTCGGCGTGGCCTGAAGGTGCATGGCAAGCGACACAAAGGGAGTGACATGGCACCAGTAGCTCTCTGATTTTGTGATAGCTTTGAGTGAGGCGCCGCAAACCTACAGTGGAAGCATCTGACTGATTTCGTATTATACATGGGCAAACGAGTCGAGTTTTTACTAGACTCGTTTGAAGTACTCGAAAATAACGAGTTTCGAGTTCTGATTCTGGTAAAAAAAACTCGTGAAAACGAGTCGATTTTTACTCGCGAGTTCAAAAAACTCGTGAAAAACTCGGCTAGACAGGCGAGTTACCCATAACTCGCGAGTTTTTTTTCACTCACGAGTTTTGTTTAACCTAGACGAGTTTTAAAAAACTCGTGCATCAAATGGTCCACCACGGGGGGGTACAAATGTCTGTTTCTGGGTTAATATGCTGCTGGAGGTGTGGCTCGCTGTTTTGGATGTGTTCCACCACTTAATTGTGAACACTAATGCAGCTGGCGTGGCGGTGAGTAGCTTTTTTGGAAAGTGAAAGGGGGGAGGAGAGGTGGGGCTGGCTGGGTCGTTTGTGGGTGTTGACGCGTGTGGCAGTTTTCTGGGCACCCTACAACTGTTTTCGTGTGGCTGGGGTTTTAGGTTAGGGTAGTGTTTAACTTCGAGTCGAGTTTTACTTGACTCGGACGAGTTTTTTTAAGGCTCATCCGAGTTTTCAAAAAACTCGACTTTGGGGCCGAGTTTCGAGTCAGCATTTTGACCAAAAAAACTCTACGACGAGTAAAACTCGACTCGACTCGTCAAAGGGAAAAAAACTCGTCAAAACGAGTCAAGTAAAACTCGACTCGCCATTTGCCCATGTAAATTCGTATCACTCAAGTCGAGCCGTCTCACAACTACAGCGGTTTCTGAGTCGCCTCGAAATGTTATAGAGAAGTATTAGTGGTAGTAATGGATAAAGACGTTCGCTACACTTCATCCACATTAGTGTCCCCTCTGCCTGCCTGCTGACCCTACCAACACCTATCTGGTCCCAATACAGTAACATGTGACCAATGAACTCACCCCCCCCCACCCCCCCCCCCCCCCCCCCCCCCCCGAAACAAACAAACAAAAAAAAAACGTACATAAGCATCATTATCCGATTCGTCTACAGCAGGTGGAGGCTCCATGATTCCCAGTTTGTAACGCTCATACCCCGCCCATGCCACCATGACACCTAGAGGAGGGATAGGGACGAGGGACACGGAACAAGTAAAGGTTTTCTCCCTGGGTCAACCCTGGGAAACTGGGACAGGTGGCGTGATGAGGGAATTGGGAAAGGGGGAAATCGATCAGGACAGGGGGGTGTGTGGGGGGAGGGGGGGAAATAGGGAAGAGGGACAGGTGGTTCCTCTAGAGCAGGCGAAGCCTCCCTTATCTAACCGCGTGTACCCCAACCATGCCATCTCTTTCCCGAAACTCTTGGGGAGATGAAGACCAACAGCCACAGCCACTCCCCATTGTCTGGGCAGAGGCGGGAGGAGGGCACACGAGCCTCAGCCCCGCCTGCTCACAGACCTAGTCGCATCAAGAACCTACTTAAACCCACCCCTCTACCTCTGTCACTCACCATTATCAGTGCAGAGGCGGGGCGGAGGGCACACGAGCCTCACCCCCGCCTGCTCGCAGATGGCTGCGATCCGCGTGCGAACAACTTGATTAGACGCCACTCCTCCTGCCATCACCTAATCGATAGGGAGGTGAGGGGGAGGGGCGGGGGGGGGTGGAGGGGAGAGAGCAAAGAAAGCCCGAGAAGGGAGGAATGAACAGGCAGAGCGGAGGGCACACCAGCCTCATTCCTGCCTGCTCACAGACTGCTGCAATCCGCGTGCGGACGACTTGATTATACGCCACTCCTCCTGCTATCACCTGATCGGTGGCGGCGGACGGGGGAAGGGTTGGGGTGGAGGTGGGTGGGGAGGAGGAGGGGGAATAGCAGCCCGCACAAGAGCTTAACAAGAGCTTAACAAGAGCTTAACAAGAGCTTAACAACCCACACTCCCTCCTGGTCTGGGACAACCCAAGAACGTTTTGTTTCTGAGAATTCTCAAAAACCAACTCACCAGTGTGTCAATCGCAGGAGCTGATTCCCTCGCCACCTGAATGGCTCTCTGCACCCGCGACTGCAGATGCAACACTGCCACCTCCTGTATACCAACCATGGACCATGACGCAACACAATTCCTCCTAGAAATGCTCTCCCTCTCCCTCTTCCTCTCCCTCTCCCTCTTCCTCTCCCTCTTTCTCTCCCTCTCCCTCTCCCTCTCCCTCTCCCTCTCCCTCTCCCTCTCCCTCTCCCTCTCCCTCTCCCTCTCTCCCTCTCCCTCTCCCTCTCCCTCTCCCTCTCCCTCTCCCTCTCCCTCTCCCTCTCCCTCTCCCTCTCTCCCTCTCCCTCTCCCTCTCCCTCTCCCTCTCCCTCTCCCTCTCCCTCTCCCTCTCCCTCTCCCTCTCCCTCTCCCTCTCCCTCTCCCTCTCCCTCTCCCTCTCCCTCTCCCTCTCCCTCTCCCTCTCCCTCTCCCTCTCCCTCTCTCCCTCTCCCTCTCCCTCTCCCTCTCCCTCTCCCTCTCCCTCTCCCTCTCCCTCTCCCTCTCCCTCTGACTCACCAGTGTGTCAATCGCAGGAGCTGATTCCCTCGCCACCTGAATGACTCTCTGCACCCGCGACTGCAGATGCAACACTGCCACCTCCTGTATACCAACCATGGACCATGACGCAACACAATTCCTCCTAGAAATGCTCTCCCTCTCCCTCTCCCTCTCCCTCTCCCCCTCTCCCTCTCCCTCTCCCTCTCCCTCTCCCTCTCCCTCTCCCTCTGACTCACCAGTGTGTCAATCGCAGGAGCTGATTCCCTCGCCACCTGAATGGCTCTCTGCACCCGCGACTGCAGATGCAACACTGCCACCTCCTGATTGGGAATAACATGGGCGAAGGGAGGAAGGAGGGGAAGAGATTTGAGTGGCATAACAGCCGCCGGATTCGGGCAACACACATCGTTATTGAAAATAAAGGAGAAGCATTGGGATATTTTTTTTTAGTCGATCGAAAAAAAAAAAAAAAAAAAAAAAAAAAAAAAAAAAAAAAAAAAAAAAAAAAAAAAAAAAAAACTGATCGGATATGATAGGGTAACCTGAGAAAATGTTGCAGCGCAGACAGCTTTAATGGGGAGAAGAGAGGTGCTATGGAAAGGAAGTTACCTGGAAAGAGGCAGCAATGTCGGCTCGTAACTGCCAGTCCTCCGGCGTTGCTTCGGCAATAGGGATAGTTTGAGCTGCCCTGGGGGTTAACGAGGAATCAGGTTCGGCAAGAGAGGTATGGAACAAGTTACATCAGGTGTCTGGCCTATAGGTCTGGCGAAACTATGGAAGGTTAAGTCAACTCGGGACACACACCCTTTCCCACACATTTCCACCCATTTCCACCCCTTTGACCCCATCACCCTCCTCACAAGGCCTTACGGGGCCTCCTCCTTTATGCAGTGTGCCTCGTTTACCTTGAGACAGCACAAGACACCTCCCCCCCCCCTTTCCCACCCTTTTCCATCCCCTTCCACCCCTCAAAACAAACACCTTACGGGGCCTCCTTCTGTATGCAGCGTGCCTCGTTCACCTTGAGACAGCACAAGATGCACACCCTTTCCGCCCATTTCCACCCCCCCCCACCCCTCTCCCCCCTCCCCACCCTCCTCACAAGGCCTTACGGGGCCTCCTTCTGTATGCAGCGTGCCACATTGGCTTTAAGTCCCGAGAAGGAAAAGTCGCAGCTCTTGACACGCGCTAGGGGCACCTGAATGGGTGGGGATGAGGAGAGAGGAAGGAGAAGAATGTGAGGAGGCATGGACAGGGGAAACGTGCAATGTGCGAGCCACATTGGCTTTAAGTCCCAAGAAGGAAAAGTCGCAGCTCTTGACACGCGCTAGCGGCACCTGGATGAATGAGAGGGGAGGAGAGATGCATGGGAGATGAAAATTGCGAGGGAAAACAGGCAAGGCGGGTATGCCACGTTGGGTTAGAGAGGGCTGAAACGGGGAAGTCGCAGCTCTTGACACGCGCTAGCAGCACCTGGATGATGAGAGGGGAAGAGGTGTGGAGTGGAGAGACGTGTCGTGAGGGGAAAATCAACTGCTACTAGAAAACACAACAGTCTGCCAATAAACCAGCATTCATTTAAAGAAGCAATCATTTAGAGCGAGCAGCAATTTCTCTTACAGTGAACTTGAATGTATCTCTGTTTCCTTCTCCTGCCAGTGCCTCAACTGCTGCCCCTCCACCTCCTAACAAAGAACTTCTTCTGTTTGCTTACAGTGAACTTGAACTTCTCTCGGTTTCCTTCCTTTGCCAGCGCTTCAACTGCTGCCCCTCCGCCTCCCGGCCCCGACAAGTCCAGACCTAGCAGACGTGCTGTCTTGTCAAACGCCTGGGGGGAGAGGTGGGTATAGGTGGTTGGGGATCAAGGGGATGAAGGGAGAGTGTGTACAGGGGAAGACGGGAAGGGGAAAAGGGGAACAGGGGAAGGGGGGAGCAGGGGGTAAAGAGAAACGCCTGCGCTTCAGCTGTTGCCTCTCCCATTCAGACACGTGGCACAGAGCAGCACTGGGCATACCTTGTTCCCCAGTGCCCTGGGAATAGTGTTGTTCTTTTTTACTTCACCCAGGGAATAAGCAGATCACAGGCCAGCCCCCCCCCCCCCCCCCCTTGTTCTATCTAAAAAACAACACCTTTCTCAGTTTTCCCTCGCCAGGGAAAACCACCACTCACTCACCCCCTCAACCCATCCATTCTACCACCCCTCACCCCAACCCTCCCCATCTCACTGCGCCGTGCCCCACCGCACTCAACCTCACGTCACCCATGGCATCGTCCAGTATTGTTCCCAGCTGAATGTAGTGCCCCACCCCAAGCCATGACCCCCCCCCATCCCAAGTTCCCAACCGCACCGCATCTCACCGCACGCCACCTCACCTCACCCATGGCGTCGTCTAGCGTGGTTCCCAGCTGAGTGTACTGCCCCACCCCATGTGACAATAACAAAAGGTTGTGCCCGCCTAGGTGGGGAATGGGGGGAAGGAGGGGGAGGGGGGGGAGAACATGTGACAATAACAGAAGGTTGTGATTATAAGAAGGACTTTGAGTCTGGCTCTACTGGACTTCAAGGCAGAAAGGCAAGTTTTTGAGAATTCGCAGAATGGCAAGCTGGGCAACGAAATCCTTTTGTGTCAGCAAGCCTAGTAACGAGTACAAGCTATAAAAAACACACCTTTAAAGTAGCGAGCCTAGCGCCGCACCTGATATCAAAAGCGTGAGGAATGGAAAGGTGACATCAGGATTGGTCAGCCTGGAAGAGGGGGGAGGAGGGGGAGGGGGGGGGAGCAAAAAGGACAGAAATTTACGTTAGATGCGCATCTTTGCACGAGCACCACACCCCACTGCACCTGATATCAAAAGCGTGAGGAATGGGAAGGTGACATCAGGATTGGTAAGCCTGGAGGAAGGGGGAGGAGAGAGAGGGAGGGGGGGGTGGGGGGAGGGGGGAGCAAAAAGGACAGAAATTTACAATAGATGCGCATCTTTGCAGGAGCGCCACACCCCCACAGGTACGCTTGTGGGAATGATGTAGACATATTTGCACTGCACCTCCTGATGTCAAAAGCGTGAGGAATGGAAAGGTGGCATCAGGATTGGTCAGCCTGGAAAGGAGGGGAAGGGGTTGAAAACCGGGAAACTTGGTCAGACAAGGAATGTATGGCAATTGAGAAATTCCATTGACGTAGGAATCTTATGAGTCACACATGGGGAGCGGAGACACGAGTCCTATGAAACCTCGGACCTGTGCTCATGAAAAAGTAACCCTTGAAACATGAGTCCTATGAAACCTGGTCAAACAAGGGAAAAAAGGGGAGCTCGTCTTTGGTGTGGATGATGGGGGTGATGGGGGGGGTGATGGGGGTGATGGGGGGGGTGATGGGGGTGATGTGATGTGATGGGGGTGATGGGGGTGATGGGGGTGATGGGGGTGATGGGGGTGGTGGGGGTGATAAGGGTGATGGGGGTGATGGGGGTGATAGGGGTGATGGGGGTGATGGGGGTGATGGGGGGGGTGATGGGGGTGATGTGATGTGATGGGGGTGATGGGGGTGATGGGGGTGGTGGGGGTGATAAGGGTGATGGGGGTGATGGGGGTGATAGGGGTGATGGGGCTGATGGGGGTGATGGGGATGATGGGGGTGATGGGGGTGATGGGGGTGATGGGGATGATGGGGGTGATGGGGGTGATAGGGGTGATCGGGGTGATGGGGGTGATGAGGGTGATGGGGGTGATGGGGGTGATGGGGGTGATGGGGATGGTGATGGGGGTGATGGGGATGATAGGGGTGATCGGGGTGATCGGGGTGATCGGGGTGATGGGGATGATGGGGGTGATGGGGGTGATGGGGGTGATGAGGGTGATGGGGGTGATGGGGGTGATGGGGGTGATGGGGATGGTGATGGGGGTGATGGGGATGATAGGGGTGATCGGGGTGATCGGGGTGATGGGGATGATGGGGGTGATGGGGGTGATGGGGGTGATGAGGGTGATGGGGGTGATGGGGTGATGGGGGGGGTGATGGGGTGATGGGGGTGATGGGGTGATGGGGGGGGGGGGTGATGGGGTGATGGGGTGATGGGGGTGATGGGGGTGATGGGGGGGGTGATGGGGTGATGGGGGTGATGGGGGGATACCATATGTAGGCATGTCGATAGGATAGGAACGATGTATACAGGAGAAACAACACCCACCTGGCCACTAGCGCGTGTGCTTCCATGTGGTGGATGGGGATGGTGGGGATGGTGAGCAGGCCATGCAGTGCTGCCCTCATATGAGAGCAGGTAGGCAAGGCAGGAAGGTAGGTACATTTCGCATCTCACCTGCCCACCAGCGCGTGTGCTTCCATGTGGTGGATGGGGATGATGGGGATGATGGGGATAATGGGGATAATGGGGATAATGGGGATAATGGGGATGATGGGGAGCATGTAAAATAACCCACCTTGCCACCAGCGCGTGTGCTTCCATGTGGTGGATGGGGATGATGGGGATGCCATGCTGTGAAGCCATCCTCCTGGCCTTCATCACTCCCACTGCCATGAAGAAAAAACACAATCATTCATGCATGGATGCATGCATGCACACAGTGGCTCAACGATGAGAAAATCATAACGGATAAGATGAAAAATCAAAAGAGGAGAAACGTGGGAGAGAAAAGGAAGGATGCTGAGGTGACGGCAGTGAGTGATGGAGCAGAGACCCACCTCTCAAACACAGGCTGAGCCCTGGACCAATCGTGACCGCTACTGCAGAGAGATCCGACGGCTGTAAGCCAGCCTCATCCAAAGCTGCTTGAACTACCTGGGCGAGCGAATGGGAACAGGAAGAAACAAGAGGATGATTATATACTTCATAGTCTCAAATTAATATATGATGCGAGATGGAAAGCAAGTGGAGGGGATATGGTGACAAGGTAACAAAAGGGTGGTGCATGCATGCAAGGGAGTGACGCGCATGAATGGAGGAAAGGAAGCCAAGCCAGTCACAAAGGATCAGTGCCAACGATTATAGATATGACATGTGTTTCATGAAAGAAAAGAAAAGAAAGAAAAGATAGCTGAAAGCAACAATTATATTTCAACTGCTAGGACGGGCACTAAAATTAAGAAGAATACCGGGTCTATTGCCTTTTCATGCTCTCCACGTGCCAATGATGGCACCACTCCCCCCCATTCCGCGTGCACCTTGCCCTGTCAATGGGAATCGGGAAGGAGGAAAAGGGGGAGGGGGGGAGCGGCGTAGGGAGGGGGGAAGGAAAGAGGGAATAGGGATGGGAAAAAGGGGACATAATCCGTGCAAAGGCGTATGGGTTTATAAAGTATCACACAATACCAAGTGGTCTATGCTCCACACTGCATGGCACTGCATGGCATGGCATGGCATGGCTCTAAAAGGATCAACATGGCACTGCAAGGCTCCACATCGCTCTGTTACCTGTGATGCGAGGGCCTCCCCCAGAATACGCCCATCGGATGTGACCTGCAGCAGGCAGGCATGGGGTGAAGAAAAGAAGAGAGAAAAGGTGAGTCTACATGGCTCTGTTACCTGTCTGTGAACCTGTGATGTGATGCGAGGGCCTCCCCCAGAATACGCCCATCGGATGTGACCTGCAGCAGGAAAGAAAGGGATGAGTGAAGAAGGTTCATTAAGGAGAGATATAATATATTAAGGCCAAACAAACTTGACGCGAGGGCTTCCCCCAAAATTCGCCCATCAGATGTGACCTACTACAGCAGGCAAGCAGGGGGTGAGTGGAGACGCGCGATTGGCTTAGGCTCCCTGAAACTAAACTCGGTCGAAACCTTCAGCAGGCAAGGAGCCGAAGCTTATTTGGGAGCAATGAGGCAGGCAAGGGCCAAAAAACTCTGTTGATCACGACCCAAAATCGCCATAGATAATCTCTCCGGTTCTCCAATGACACTCACTCACGTGTAAGCTCAGATTATTTAGATTCCAAAAAACACATTGATGCCAACACGGGGATTCGAACCAGGGACCAATCTAGGAGCCACAGACAATTGTTCTCCTGTGTCCTGTCACACTCACTCACCACAGCAGCCCCTGTGTCGTCACAACTCGTCTCAATCCCGAGAATCACAATATTTCCGCCATTGGGGTTCGAACCCGGGTCACTCATCCCACTCGGCACCTCTTGCCCCTTCCCCTTTGCCCTATCAGCAACATCACCAGCACTCTGAGACGTCTCAGAATTCTCCCCTGCCACGTCAGCAGCATCAACCACGGTACTCCTGCGGCTTCCGATCGGTCTATTCTTATTAGCAGAAAGGCCTGCTATGTGGTAACCCCTCGAGTGGTAACCTGACGTGGGGTAACCCCCCACTGCGCTCGCCCCCTTGAATCCCGAACCCGTATCTCCCCAAGGTCGCTGTGTTTGCAGTCCAACGACCTGCTGCCACGTGGCATGTTTCCTCGGACGCGAGGGCAACAGAAATCTCTGTAACGGGTTGTGACGAGATAGCAAGGGACTCGCGGGAGGTCCTATCGAGGGTACGGAGGAAGCTTCTATCGCGGACGACCAGCTGCTGAGGCTAGTAATAGATTGCGTAATTAGTCCTAAATTTGTGGCCGATAATGCCGGCATTGCCTGTCTCGTGTATCTATTAAGGCTATTAAGTACGCGTCGGGGTAACGCAGAGCCTGAAGGCGCGACCCGGTTCATCATATCCGTGTGGCTTACGTGGCACACGCCTAGTGGCGCTCCAGCCATCGCTCAGCAAGAGAAACCCCGCACGCAGAAGGGCGACGCGTGGAGGAATAGACAACACGCGATATAAGACGCGCTGGTAACAAAAATATGGGACTATTAGGCGGTGCTAAGGCTCCGAAGTGGGTGGTCTAAGCAGGTTGCTAAACATCTCGGCCGCAGAACACGGAGCCTATGCCTTTACTCAGCAAACAACCTGCTCGTGTGCGTAAGATTCGGAAACTGAATAAAGAAGCGCGTGCCATGGAGCCCAGGTAGTCAGGTCGTGTTTCCACCTGTCGGGCGCATTCAGACGCATTCAGAAGTATGAGTCTCAGGGTAGGTCCCTGAGTACGCACCTGTCTTGCACATCTTTGCTCTCAAAACCTGCACTTGAAAAAATAAGATTGTAGGGTCTCATCTGACCTTTCATCACCAAATCTACAATGAAAACACACCCCGAGTTGCAACTGGATCGAAATTTGATACGTAACGAGAGGTTAAGTACGCTTGATAACGTTAAAATGTGGTAAAACACGGTACATGGCGTTTGTTGTAAAAATTATGCTTCCATCCACCTTCACACTACTCTCGCCTTCAGCTGCTCTCTTCCCTGCTGCTTGCACCTCTGCTTCACGAGGCAGATTTTTCTTAGGAGATTCTCAGATCGCTTTAGTTTAATCACCGTGTACTATTTCATTCATATTTTTATCACCAACGCCGTCCTTTTCGCCGGCTCGCCTGCTCGCGTCTTTCGTACCTTTCTCCGACCGTGAGTTTTTTTGTTGCTGTAAAGCCGCTGGCAATGGCGTCACCTTGCCTACACCTCTCGTCCACGCCTAATCTCAGAAATATGTTAAACGCCGCGCTAGAGACTAGGGGAGCCCTTTCTTCATCTCAGATCGTGGATCGGACGGCTGCCGGCGATTCTGGCGATCAGAATATTTCCGCGCCGTCAGAACTGCCGGCGAAGTTCAAACAGTACGCATCCACAGCAGACGGCGATGCGATTCCGTACGCCGTGGTCCGCGCCGCGTGGTCCTCTTTACGGGAGCGGCACGGGTTGGATCGCAGCGACCGCAGCGACCAGAGCGAAGAGAGTGGTAACACAAGGACGGGTCAGATTTCGCCGAGCGACAGCTGCGAGACGAGCGAAGTGAACGAGTCAGAAGCACGGGAGGAAGCCTCAGGCGTTACTTCTCAAGGCACTGCGAGCAGCACTGGCAACACGAGTAACGATACTGCGAGTAGCAACGGCAGTGCTGCCAGGTGCAGCGGAAACGGGAGGAGCAATGGCAGTGCAAGCAACGGCGCTGCGAGCAGCTACAAGCGCCCTGATTGGCTTCTGCACGAGGTGCTGCAGGGCTGCCAGGTGTTGCTACCTGCTCCACCCGAGCCTCCGAAGAAGGTACGGCCGGACATACAATCTTGGCTCGGATTGACAGCTCAGAGCTCGTTGTTTATTCTCTTTTTTTCACCTTTCTCCTGTTTAGAGTCCATCTTGTGTGTTCCTCACTTCATCTTCGCGAAAAGCTCTCAATTGAATCTTCCCGCTCTCCTCTTGTTTCGGCACCCCTTCCCTCTGTTGTCCTTCAGAGTGCGGAGCTGGAAGCTCGTCTGGCTGCTCTCAAGGAAGAAAAGGAGCAGAGGTGGTACAGAGAGCTTTCTATCACCACTTCCCTTTCTCCCTTACCTCCACTTATCATCTCACAGAGTGCGGAGCTGGAAGCTCGTCTGGCTGCTCTCAAGGAAGCGGAGGAACAGAGGCGGTATAGAGAGCTCGTGAGAGATGTGGTTCCCAAGGGAGCAAAAGGGAGAGGCGCAGGTGGTGGTGTTGATGATGAGGAGGACTTCGGAGGGCAGGGGGGAAGCTCGTACCTGGCTTCGTACAGAGAGCAGCTCGGGTTCGGTAAGTTCATTTTCCTTTTTTTTTTTTTCCAGATTGTTTTACTGTCGGTTCCTATGAAGCGGCACATTCATTGCCTGCCACTGCTCCCGTTGTCTGGAAGTTTCGGTCTTTTTTTTTTTTTGGCACCTCTAAATTTGCTTGCCACTGCTGCCATTGGCTGGCGGTTTTGGTCAACAATGAGTTTCATGATGACGTTTGAGCCGACGCAAATTTCACTATTTGCCACTGTCACGTTCGGCCAGCTTTGCTGAGACTTGAGTTTTGTGGTTTTGGTGGGCGTTTTAGGCTGAGTCTCCTAAACGATTGCGTTGAAAGAATTCGTGGCATCCTTTCTTGCCTTTATCTGATTTTATTTATTTCCTTCGTTTTTCCTTCATCCCCGTCCCGAGCTGCTTTCCCTTGAAGCCCTCCCTGC